ATACAATGCTTGCATCAAATGAAAACAGCTATTGCCCTTCTGCCTCTAGGCCATCTGGCTCACTAGGAACTTTAATGTCTTTAAAAATAAAAGAAATCACATTAATGTACACCAAATAATAGCAAAGGTTGTTGAATACCACCATGTAGCAGTCACATCCAGACATGTTATAACAATAATCACCTTATACCTAAAGTGGCAACCACCAGATAAGGGCTTCTATAAGTTGAACATTGATGGGGCTGCATGCCTTAACACAGGGAAATGGGATATTAGGGAGGGGTGGATATTCAGAAACATCAGGGGCGACTGGGTCTTAGGCTTCATGAGGGGGTTCCCAAACATTGATAGTCTTAGGGCAGAGCTCCAAGCCCTATAGTTGGGGCTAAAAATAGTTCTAGATCAAGGCTTGTCACCTATTGTGATTGACACTGACTCTGAAGTGATGCTGGAAATGTTAGAGCATGGTAACTTAACTCACAATCCCATAATTTCTGAATGCAGGTATCTGATGGAACAGCTGGGGTACCCAGTCATAGGCCATAGCTACAGGGAGCAAAATCAAGTGGCGGACCTCCTCGCAAAGGAAGGAGCTAGGAAGGAAGTTTTTGACAAGACCCAATTTTTGGCAGTTCCTCCGGTGTTTGCAAATGATGCAGTGTGGGCAGACATCTTAGGAATTATTTTTTTAGGAAAACTAATGTTTGTAATAGTAATACAATGGTAGATGTTGATGACAATTAACATGGGACCTCATCCTCCCCTTATATTGATGTAATTTTGTGAATGTTTATATATATATATATATATAAGTATCCAATTAACCAAAAAAAAAATGCAACAACACTAGAGTCTTATCTTTGTTAACGTAAGATGTACTTATTTTAAATTATACTCACAGTCTGAATTTGACTTTAGACGAGGTGGAATGGCTGAATTGGATAACCAAAAGAGATAGGAGAAGCAACCTTTTTTTGCTTTAATCATTCAGCATTAGAAACCTATCTATCTAATTTATATATTCGTGCTGCATAAATTTATTAAAGGATAAATAGCTCTTTACTAAAGGTCCTTCATCATCAGAACTCGACACTAAAATATTTGAGATAATAAGAGGCCAGCATTCAAAAAGCATAGTGATTGTTGAGTAGTACTCATTGACCTATAGCAGAAACTCGAGTCCCAAGCAATTCATTTGCATGCGTATTCTGTTTAGTCTTGTTAGCTTAATGGTTTGCATGCGTATTCTGTTTAGTCTTGTTAGCTTAATGGTTTTTTCGTGAGTATGGTTTTCCTGGCACAGCGGCGAAGTTAGGATTTGAAGTAATTTTGTAGGTTCTGAATTCTAATTATTTTAAGTTACTGAATTTTGAATTAATATCTTTTACATCTTTAATGAATTTTTTATGACAAATAAAAAATTTAAATAAAAGTTATTGGATTTGGCCGAGCTCGCGTGCCTTCTACCTCCGTCCCAGTAACAAAAGGGCCTCCAGCCACATACAGTAACAAGATACAAGAGAAAATTATAATTGATGTCATAGCTGCATTATTTTCATTGCTCTTCTACTATAGGGATTGTTATTTGTCAAGCGATTACTGCTTATTCTATAAGTTGAATCAAAATGATGCGCTACTGTTCTTTGTCATCTTCGTCCTAATTTATGTAGCGGTATTTGACTAGGTACGAAATTAAGAAAGAAAGAAAAACTCTTGAAACTTATTCCAAAACAAAATGTAGAAATTTATGTGGCTATAAATCATCTATTTAGGATGAAATGCGAAATTTAAAGTTAACTTATTTATAATAACAACAATAACCCAGTAATAATATCACTAGTGAGGTCTGAAGAGGGTAAAGTGTACGCACACCTTATCCCTACCCGGAAGGATAGAGAGGCTATTTCCGGAAAAACTTATTTATAAATAAGAACAAATTAAAAAGGATAGTATATGACATATAAATTAGGACATAGGAAATAGTACCAATTAAGACAACACGTCAACACCTATAAAAATGGAACTAGTCTCGAATCTTCAAGTTCTATTCATTGACATTGTAAATTTTTTTTTTTTACACAATTATATCATATTACTTACAAGGTAATAGTACATAAGTCTTTATAATAACTATTAATTGTAACGCAGTATAACAACTAGCCAATTATCTTACTATATCAGATTAAATTAGAGTGACAATCTAAAAGATCTCTACACTTTTGCTTCCCACTATCCAGTTTCCAATTACAAATTAAAATGAGGAAAAAACATAATTGTGCAATATTTTAAAAAAAAAAAAAATACAAAAGCTTAGAAGTATGAATTAATTAACAAATGTGACAGCTACATATTTGCATTCCGCAACATCCTAAACTTTTTCCTACTTTTTCGCCCAGCCATAACTTTTTACCCCTAGAAACTAGCTCCCATAACGTTTTTCCTAAATCTTTCTCCTAAAAATTAGATACCATAACTTTCTTCCTTTTCTATTGTATCTATCAGATATAGTGCCTGTGTATAGTCAAAACACATAAAAAAAATGATTACTTTCTTCTTAAATAGTTGAAAAGTTGCAATATACATATTTAATGCATAGTTTGATATGATGTGTATTTTTTTAATAACAAATATACAATGTTTAATAGTTATATAATAATGTATTCTAGACGTTTCAGATGTGTTTATGAAAATGATATGAAAATTTTATATATTGTATAATGGTAGTATAATAATGATATTTTGATGTTCAAATGTGTTATGTAAAGTATTTGCAAATTATATATATGGTATAACTTTGGTATAATAATAATATATGGTATTATACTAGTATTCTAATGGAATTTGCTTTTAGATGTGTTTTTATATAAGTTAATTTCTAATGTTATACATGGGATAATAATTATATATTTATGGTGTCATGATTCATGGGTGAAGGCTACTTCATATATATATAGAGAGAGAGACACACACACACACACCAAGAAAAAATATTTCTATATATATATATATATATATACACACACACAAAGAAAAAATATTTCCCTAAACACATATTTATACCATACGTGTATAGGGTATGTGTTAGATATAAAACAATTTAGACCATATACTTCAAATATATATTTTATGTGTAACAAAAAAATTTCACAAAAACTACTTGCCATTAACATATTTATCCCATAACTATACTATAAATATGTGAATGTTATCTTTATTTAAAACATAAATATAACGATAAAGATCAACATTAATCGTAAGTATGTCATCACTTGATAATTCTTTGATTCAATCACTAAAGTAACCTGATCTATTCCCCCTTTCCTCAAATAAGAGAAGACAGAAATGATTAAAAAAAAGGTGAAAAAAACAATACAGTATAAGAGGAAAAGAAATGAAAATAGATGATTTTATTTTTTTGCTTTGAGAAGAGGAACAAGATAATAAAAGCTATCCCTAATTTTGTGGAAGAGAGATAAATGAGTTATCAGTTACGTACTATTAAAGAGAAACAGTATTTTGGTTGAATATGCTACATTTGTTATAAAATCTGCTATTATTGAAATAATTGAAAGATAATAATATTGATATAAATACTTTTTTGTTAGTGACCTACAATGCTAATTATCTACTTGTTTTAGTATATCACAATATCAAACAGCAAATTCGTCATTATCTAGCGGTTAGGATATCTGGCTTTCGCCCAAGAGACCCGTGTTCGAATCCCGGTAACGGAATGTTTCGTTTTCCAACAAAGGTCACCAATTTGCCCAATTTGCTTCTGCAGAAAAATATAAAGCTATAAAATAAGGATTCATTTTTCAAACGATATTAACTTTTACTTCTTTTTTGGGCAAGCAATGTATCGATCATATATGCATGTCTCTAGTTTCGCGAGTCGAGAGGGTGAATCCTTGACCAATGTTTGCGCTTTTTATACTGAAAAGAGTTAATTAAAATAATGAAGTAAAAAGCCAAAACGAAAGTAATAAACAAATCATATAAGAGCTATCAAGATAAGAAAGCAGAAAGAAGTCATTGCAAATGAAAAAGAGAATAATATGGTCTGGAGTAAAAGATTACTTACTCTTACACAGTGATTTTGCTGTTGCTCCGTCTACTAACTTTTAGTTTCATAGTTATAGTAAAATTATATATTGTGTCGACTGTCGAGGTATATATGCTGCTTTTGGAACCGTTGAATTATCTCAAAAGAGGAAGGACATGAGGCTGTTAGAGCATGACCTAATCATGGTCAACAATGATTCCTCTTCCTCTTTCTTTTTCTTTTTTATTGACCAATACTAGATCATGCTAACAGCTTTACTTGTTTCCCTCTAGGCTTTGAATAATAAGAAAGAAAAAGCAAGCCTACACCTTGCTTAATACATGGTAATAATGATGGAAAAAGCAAGAGGCGAATTTAGGATTTTTAGTACATGAGTGTACTACTATAAAAGAAGGAAAAAAAAATGATAGGATTAGATCTCTATACCTCTTGGTCAATATCTCAACAATCAAACAATATTATACCAATTTCAGAAAATATGTACATAAAATATTTAATTTTACAAAAAGACCATGGGTTCACGTGCCTCATACCCAAGCCTATAAATCCGCCCCTCCTACAACCAGAAGATATTGCTTAGTTGTTCTGGTTGTCCAGTCACCTATTATGCGGTTATGTATATATTTACACAAGTTTCACACATAAGTCCGTTATCGTCCAGCGGTTAGGATATCTGGCTTTCACCCAGGAGACCCGGGTTCGATTCCCGGTAACGGAAATGTTTTTTCTTGCTCGGTTTTAGTATATAGCAGCCTTAATTGGTTACAACAGAGTAATAACTTTTGCTTATGCATTCCAAAATCCCTACCTTTTTTGCTTATGTGTTGTCTGTTTATGTCTATGTGAGTGTGTAGAGTGAAATTTTGCTTCTAGTAAGGAAAGGGGGAGGGAGGTAATTCTCCAAAGCTCTTGATTTTGGTGACCATTCATAATATCAAAGTGATCAACACTCAAATTCATATCACATTGCAGTTTTACCTTCAAGTATTTCCATTAAAAGTTCTTTTCCCATAAGGGCAGGGGATACACCTTCGAAAAATCCTCCATATGACTAGAACAGAAAAAATTATTTGGGAAAAGCAAATACGAACATGCCACTTAGCAGGACACTTCTATTTTCAAGTTAGTAGTAAGTCATTGGTCAACCTTCTTTGCAACTTGCAAAGAATACTTGAATGTAGAAAAGAGTTCATGTCTGTTCTTTGTGTTCAAGTGAAGGTGGATCTTGTCTCATTGGAATCACAACAACAGACAAGTTATCACTGCTACCTTTACTAAATGCATTTTGGACAATGCAGTCGGCTAAAGAGGATGATGATGGACAGAAGGATGAGTCAATGGATGTCTCGTTCTCTTTAGCATGTCCTCCATGTAAAATATCACAGACATCCTGGGGATTCATTCTCTCAAATATGCCATCAGATCCTATCACCAAATAGCAGTCTTCAGTCGTCATATGTCTCCAATCCGTGAGTTCTGGTTTAGCAATAACTCCATACCTAGAAATACCAAAAGAAAATAGATCAGCTGAAACGCTCTACTCGCTGCTTTGTGTTCATGGCATAACACAAGGACTGCTGAGCGTGCAGTTTGAGTCAAAAAGGACAACTAATGACAAAGGGTTAAGGATGGACCTTTTCAAACGAATATCTCCTATAGACCGTGAGACAGCCAATATACCATTGACACGAGGTACGCCAATAACAAGGACAACCCCACCAGCTGCTTCAATTCTAGCCTTTTCATCATCCCTATCAGGATGGTGATCCTTTGTTAGTTCCTCAGCTTGAAGTTTAGTCACTAAATCAACTTGAGAGGTTCAAGCAGAACAGACAGAGTAAAAGGATAGTAAGGAAAACGGAGAGCTAACGAAATAATCGGCTTTTTAGGCAGGGGCAACAATGTGCTAACCAACATACAGTTTTAGTGAACAATAGTTGGAAGATTTTAAACCTTCACTGTCCTGATCAAAATGAGTTCTCCTTGAGCATAAGAGTGCTTTCGAGTCCCCCAGATTACCAACTAATATCTGCCCATTCATCCAAAGAACAACTGTTGCAGTTGATCCAGATATGTAGTCATTGTTCAAAGCTTCCTGCAGAGAGAATTGACTTGAAAATCCGTAGGGCTGCTTAAGAAAACGACAAACATAAGGAGAACAGTATGTGCCTGTGAAAATTCTGAATCTATATCTTGGATTGTTCTCAAGAGGGCTTTCTCTAGGATGCCATGTGTCAATTCCTCATCAACTACACATAATGCTCCATTAGAACTGTATAAACATCAAGGCATCAATACTTGCGCAGTAGAGAGTACATTTATAGGTATGAAATACTTTCTCTAATGGTTTGACATGCAGAAAAAGAGTATATTCACATGCTTTCCGTTTAACGGACAATTACTAACTCGTATCAGCTGATGAAAGATGAAGTTGAGAAACATTGATGATACAACCACAATACACATGATGGCATGATCATTAAAAGGATAAAAATCCTTATATTTAAGCTGCAGCGGATTACAAGGAAAACCATCAGAGTGCAAAAAGTATTCCTGAAGATATAAGGGCATAGGCATCTCCATTTAGGAAGTTATAACATGTTAGACGTGTTTCATATCATTTATATGGCAACAGATTGGGGGGTTTGGCAAAATATTGATGCAGAAAATAACCAGTGACAATATCCAGTTCTAAATTTTCATAGGACAGGTTACAAACCTTTCAATTTCAAGCTATAATGACCTGCTTCTTCATGCTCATTACTGTGTGAAAAGAGCTTCTTGTATGTATTGAAAACAACATGCAGTAAAAAGTAATCTAAAAACTTTTGAGAAGCCATTTCACTTGCTTCCTTGCCTCCATGTCCATCAAAAACTGCCGCTATACCCACACCAGCTTCGTTAGGATCATCTTCACCTAGTGATATTAAGAAAAAGATGAGCAGCTGTAACCAGGAACTTTGCACATTTTACAGATATACTGCTAAACTACAGGATTTGTTTTGATATCTTCAGCATCTTTTAAAATAAAGAGATTGGTCATCAATATCTTCAACATTTGGATTTAGTCTAAGGGGTTCCCAACTCTCATATAATATGGTAATAGTGGTACCCTCGTTTTGGGTCTTCAAAGGAAGAAGGGCCCCAAAAAGGTGCTACCTTTGCAGTTGAGACAGATATATTGCTAACAAGTCCCATTAACTAAAAGAAAGAGAGAGGCAATAGAGCTGCTCTTTTATAACAATGAGAAATCTGAATATGGAAAGCGGGTAGAGTTTGAAACTACCTAAAACGGGAACAGTAACATGAGGATAGCAAATAATACGGTCTTCTTGGTATTTCCTACGCCCCCGATGCGTAGCTACAGGGCAGTTATCTGTTCCATTTTGAATAGCAGCAGAAAATTCCCACATAGGACATTCGGGTGAGTCAAAAACTGCTGAAGCACCACCCTCATCATAAGCTATCATACAGGACACTGAGACCTCATAAGCGTAACTCGAGCAAAGAAATGCTCCAAAGAGAAGTGCAAGCTTTCCTCCTTCCATTGAAAACTCAGCCATTAGAACCTAGCCATAATTTCATGACACAATATTTCATGCAGATCAAGAATTTTTGAGTCCACTACCTATCCAACTGCCTGGAGACAAAATATTTGAGAGTTAGTTTTGCTTAAGTAAAACATACAGTGTCTGGTTGGTCAGCAAATATATGCACAATCAGCTCATTTAACAATCAACCGCCGCACAATCTTATCAAAGTACTCTCTTTAACCAATCTTGATTGTATAGTAACCTGGCCAAAAGGGTGACTAACCTGTGGAAGCCAGTCAAGTAAAAATATTTTACTCCGTATATTGTTAGTGGAAAAAATCTAAATTCACCTGAGTGTAGTACACATCGCAAATAAAAAAAGTAAGGAGATCAATAGTGTAGTAAACATAGTCAGATATTATGGCCGCGATGGTATAAAATTCTGGAGACTTGTATATAGCTTCCAAAACAGGAAAAGAAGATTAAAAAAAAGCAGTGAACCACAGCATTTATTGAGCTGAGGGCACTCGCATTACACACTGATGCATCTAAAACTTTACGCGGATTCATAAGCACAAAAGGAATTGCTATTAAAAGATCTTATAATTGCACATCCAAAATCTTTTAATTGCACATCCATCCAATGCTGCTCCCATATTGCGCTGCTTACTTTTGTTATGGTGGAAACTTTTTTCCTGCAAAGTATTTTCCTAGCTGAAATCATTTTAATGTTGTATTTTACCCCAATAAATAAAGCTCTTTATTCGTTGGACCTGGGTAGGTTATTTTATTGATACCAAAACTATATGAATACAGAAGTATAGCAGGGCATTAGACCATAGAACACTGATCTTAGCATAGGAGAAAAATACTCCCCTTTTACATATATCTCGAATTGGAACTGGAAATAATATGAAATCCTAAGACCATGAATGCATTTTAGATTACTCTCCATTGATCTAACATGAAAGCACTAAGAAGAAAACACTAAAGTTTCTCTGCCTAATATGGTTTGTCATCATACCAGGAATTAGGAGTACAAAGGGACTTTGTTCAATTGTGGGCATAAGTCATTTTCCTAAAGACTTCACTAATATACAAACTCTTGCTTTATATCACTTGTTTCAATCAATGCTTACATATTGTTTTCAGTCATTAATGCTAAAAATATTTCCACAATACTACCATCATATTCTATTTTCCATCTTACATGATAGCCACATACTTTTATACTCAAACCAAACACTGGAAAGTGATCCAATAAAATGATCCAGAAATGATTCTGAGATAAAATGCCAAACACACACTCTTAATTCTTTGTTTTGTCCAAAAATTGTTGATTACCCAAAAAAAGCAGGAATTATCAGTCTTCGAAGTCCACAAATGAAAAACGCAAGCTTTAGCTCAATCTGCTAGGCGGATCCAGGATGGGTTCAAACCTAGCATTCTACTATTTATTGTAATGTTAATAAATTTATACTTCGCAATGAAAGTACTGGTTCAGTTGAACCCGGTACTAAAGGGCTGGATCCGCCCCTAAGAAGTAGTTAACTTCGGATCAAATTTGAAGTAAAATTTAGCAGATAAAATAAAACTGCAATTAACCGCATATATATGTACAAGGTAGAAGATATAGCAAACTTCAATCCGAGCATATTACCATAAATGAAGATGCCAATCTTGCATTGCCTGTGCTTTTATGGAAGAAGCGACAATATTCCAGAAATGGAAGAAGTTGCAATTTACAATCTCAGCTGGAGGGGGCCGGGTAGTAAATTGCTTGGACCGTAAGTCGGCCCAATACCTGAAGCACTCTTTTATTTCGGAAATTACTTACTTTGTTTTTTGGTTAAACCAATGAAGGATTTATATAATTTTTTATCAATTAAGTCATAACATATTTTCACTTTAATTTGTGAATCTTATGGTCTAATTGCCTGGCTGGTACAAAGACCATCGAGTAAGTATTTTTTTCTTTTATAATTCCTTAATTATTATTTTTTCGAGTGCAACGCTTTGAATTGCTGGAAACAAAGCAAAACTAAATTTTAACGTTATTTTAAAATAAAAATTTAAAACTAATCTTATAATCTCAGAAAAAATAAACCTTTATAAGTCTACATTTCTTAAGATTAGTACTTTGACCTCCTTTCTTCCTCCTCTATATGATGACGGATCCAAGGGTTTATGTTTAGTCTATGCGGTACTCTACGCCACTATAATATGGATATTTGATAATGAAATTCATCAACTACACTATCATATATTTGCGAGATGATCTCATCCAAAGATAAATCCTAGATTTGAACTTCATGAATTCGGTTTCAAATTTTAACACTGCCATTTATTGGGTTTGAAATCTATTATTTGTACTTATTTTGTGAATTTTTAAACATATATAAGATGTAAGCCCAAGTTACTAAATTCCAATGAACCCTAACTTGTACGTTTAGTCCTTCCCTGCTCTCACTGTGGTCTTTCCTTTGTCACTGTCTAACCATTTGCTGTATTTGACTGGTCTATTCTCCTCCTCTGTATTCAAACTTTACTCCATATTGTAATCAGTAGATGATTAATAAATGTCATTGTCCTTCGAACTTTAAAGTTTATATGAGACAGGCATCATATAGCACCAGCAATGCAGATACATAGAGACATTTCTTTCCCAAAATCCTGTTGTGTTGTCTCAGTCAACGAATAGCTGAATTAATAAACTTTGAGGCTTGACCAATAACAGGAGAATGCCTTGGTAATTCAAATTAGAAAGTTATATGGGCAGTCAATAAAATTGGACATATAATCCAAAATTAGCAAGATCATTTAGAAGGGATTCCAGCAACAAAGAAATGATACTGCCTATCATCAATATTGAAGATGCAGACTAGCTCTTACAAGATTTTGAAAGCAAAAACACTGCATGGTGGATAACTATTTCTCACTAGTTTTCTCTTCATTTACATGAGTACAGACAACAATCTAAATTGAGATGGCATTTTTTACATATATTGTCAATTTTTGAAGAAAAAAAGGCTACCAGCATCCACTTCATTCAACTATCTAGACACTAGAACATGCTTGTCCTCCACAAAATTACAGATGAACACAAAATAGAAATCTGGTGTGCGTCCCTGACCTTATCCAACATTCATTCTTTAACATCTGAAAAGCAACAAAACGTATCAAACACTTGACGATTTAAATGTTTCATATATTTCATTTTTTATGGTGAAACGGCTGGGTGGAGATGAAAGTTGGCATAGTTGTGAGACTGTTATAAAGAGACCTCAAGCAAAAAAATGACTAGTATAGTAAATACTCAATATTTGTCGTTGCAATGGCATCTAGCAAAGAACAAATGAGATATGTTACAGGAGATCCCAAGCGAACAAGGATGAATGCACTCAATGCAGCTATTCGCTCCTGTATTCACTATTTAATTACTTGCAATACATCACCAAATTAACGAACCATGGCACCTTATGAATGTGTCTAAGGTCCCAAGGGAAGATAGTTGGTTCAATAAGGCAATAGCTTTCTTTCAACAGGCAGTAACACAGGAATCGGATACTATCTTGCAATTCAGTTGGCCAACAAGAATCATTGAGGAGCTTACAAAGAACAGATTCAGAGGTTAAAATGCAACTTTTGTGATTAACAACCTGGTTACCTAATGAAAGCTATGCGTATCTTATTGTTTTGAAGTAATATTCACTTATTTCCTAGATGTTGGGAAAGTTCAGTCAATAACAAATACCCATGGCCCCATATCATGCACAGACTAATTAAAGAAGCAACAAAAAAAAACGTTATTATAGAACATTTGAAAGTACTATGACCACTAGAATAGTCAGGTTCTTCGAAGGATAAACAACATCACCTGTCATTGGGACCACTAGAAAAAGGGGCATTCATCTGAATATTTTCTTCTAGGGGACCGCTTGGTGTGGGTGCTGTAGATAGTCTAATGTGGGGCGCAAAGCAAAGATCAGTCCTACTTGAGTGTTCACTTGGGGTAAGAGATCCCATTCGACCGTTTAAATAGATGTCCAAGCTAGCTGATGAAGTTATTTCTACCTTTCTCTTGCACTTGAACCTTCACCTAACAGAGATGTGAGAGACAGACAGAAACAGAAAACAATTGCGAATATTTTCTTATATTATTTCACTTTATCATATCGAGCAGCTCAGTTATTGCAATACCTGTCTTTTCGCTTCTCAAGATATCTTTGTACTGATGCTTTCCTGCTTGAGGGGCTCTCTACTGCTTCTGGGGAACATAAAATAAATGCGAAAGAAAATTACGCAGAAATTGAATATAGTGTTCATATTGTTTTCAGCACAAGGTACTTTACTGTAGTTCATTCCACAGACAAGGAAACAGCACTAGACCAACATTTTTCACCCAAGTAAACCTTTTGCTTACAGAAAACACAGTCGTCCACCAACACTCAGGCTACATTTGTGGGTTTCAGAACTGATTATATTCCTTAAAAGATAAGCTTAGCAGGGAAAGGAAGTTTTTCTTTTTACTTCTAATATTTCCCCTTTTTTTCTATAAGATTGCTTACTTCTATCTAGTGGATCTTCAAATGTATTTCATATTATAAATCTCTACTAGAACAAAGTACCTTAATATTCGCAAATGTAGTAGTGTCCAATGAGCAATTTTATGGAAAAGAGAAAAGAATGAAAACATAACGAAAAACTACCAGGATTGTCATCATATAAGCCGTTTCTTTCTTCTACATGCATTCGAGAAACCTCACTCAATTTTACTGTAAAAGATCAAACAAAAATGTTTTGGCACAGGACAATAAACATCTTCCCTGATGATCCCAGGAAAAGGACTCCTCACTCACAGGAGTCATAATGTACAGTGATATTTTCTCCCCCAATATATGACATTTAGGATCATAAAGTTGTTGCATTTTCTTCATATTGACTTCTTATGGTTGCTTTATTTTTGCAGTAACCTTTCAGTTCTCCTCACTAAAATTCTCAGAAACAAACACTACCTAATTCACATTCTCAACTCACCCATTCTAAGCAAGTACAAAAAGATAGAAGAGTTATGCACCATAATGCAACTAATGACCTGTTTGAATAGTCGGCAGAAGTGCCATATCAGGATCTGGGCGTAGTTTAGTATTTGCAGCCCCTAAGCAGCATGTTGAATGCCGAGCTGCTGCAGTAGCATTTGATGAAGTTTCTGAAGGCACACAAAGGGGGCTTGAAGCAAGACGCATGATTATTTGTGCCTAAAAATATCCGAGTTGGTCGTATCAGGAAAAAAGTGAAACTACACTGATTTTCTGAAGTTCCCAATTTTCAGCAAGCTTAAATACCTTGTCAGCAGGCACATCATCATAAACATTCACCTTGCCACTGTAGAAGATTGTCATTTGTTCTACTGGTGTATCTACTGAATCTAATATTCTGGAAGCACCAATAGAAAAGCTATCAGTTTTTGAAGCTGGATAGAATGCAATTTTCATTTGAAGGAAATGCTAGTCAAATGAGGCCCGTGCACCTATGCATATACAGAATCACAAGTTACCTTATGATGCCATTCTGAATAGAGTAGCTTCCAACAAACTTTAGGTTACATTGGGATATGCAAACACAAGAGGTGAAGGTGAAGGTGAATATATTTGGACCTGATGATTTGTTAACAATAGACAAAGGATCTTACTTAAGTGCTAAATGATGAATTTGCCACAATAACAATCTATGGAAATGAAACTATTAACTTAACAAGAGATCACCAGAGGAGCTTGTGGAGCCATTGATGTCTAATAGGAGAAAAGACATGAGGGACTTTAAGAACTCCCACAACTAATTTAGTATTACTTGTTGTATTCTAAGCCAAGTAGAAAGCTTTGGTTTCTGCTGAGGCAGTTGCTGCCTAGAAGCACATATGCAATTACTATTCAATGATTTATGGTCGTAGTCTACTTAGTCCATGGACTTCAACATCCTTCAACTACGCACATTGTGGTCACCCTAAAAAGTTATTTAGGGGCAAAATTTCTGGCATAATGACACTCTAGGTATTACTTGTGGTGTTAGAACATGGGACACAACAAATGAAGTATTAACAATGGTGTCAACAACTGGTAGTATAAGAAACCAAATGCATATCATTGGCAAGTACGTTTATCTCTTAATTACATGAAAACTGCACTCAAATTAGTGCACTAAATGATTGAAGTTCATCATAAAGACTGAATATTTATATGCATCTCTAACATTCATTCACATTACTCGGACACTTTAACCACAATTCTTAAAGCACATAAATAATGGAAATATTGCCGGTAAGCCACTTACTGTACTGAGAATTCAAGTAAGAGATACACAAGGAGGCCAGGGTTTGAGAGAGAGGGACAGAGAGACTGATTTGACAGGCACGAACTAGCCGCTATTTCGACATGAAACTCAAAGTATTCAGAAGAACAATTTTCAAACTCAAGCACCTTTTTTCTTTAATAACAATAAGGAACCATCCATTGAGCACAATGTAGAGCTTATTATCAATCAATCAATTAATTATGTCTCAATTCCAAACTTATTAGGATTGAATATAGCTCTATATCCATTCTGTTCTATTCAGGTCTTTCGCTCCCATACTAAATTTCAAGCTATAATTCTAGAAGGTTTATTGACTCCGAAAAGCAATCAAGAAGACCATGTCTCACCTTGAAGGAGCTGACTTCTCAATAGCAGCAACCAGAGTGGGAGTTGCATCGCCGGAAAGATCAGTTTCTTCCTGTTGTTTTCTTCCATCAGGCACTGTCTCTTCAGCCAGTTCAATAAATTCTTCATCAGTATTTTTGCCTCTCTGGACCTACATTAGTTTTTAGAACTATTTAATACTAGTATTAACACATAAACGTGCGCTGGTACATTTACAGTATCGACATAAGAGCCAAACATCATACGGTACTAACTACCAGCGGACTATAACAAAAAATAGGTCAAATATTGCTACAAGATAGATAGAGAAAACGAACACGGTGTACACTAGTGTCGGAGCGAGGAATGTAAAGTTTCTTCCGAAAGCCGGCGTCGGAATCTGACGCCGTTTCAAGGAGAGCCTTTAGTGATATCACTTGCTGAATCGCCTGTGATTTATTCCATGACGGCCTTCTCATCCCTGTACGGAACACATTACAGCAGCAGAGGCACAATTTCAAAAAAAAAAAATCGCATTTTTTCACTAATAAGTTCTATGTATGTAATGAATGCAGACGAAGAGGAGTGAGTACCTTTAAGTTTGAGGTAACGGCGGCAATCTTCGCGAGTGAGCTGAGAAATGTCATCTTCAGTGAGTTGCTGAAGCGGCTTGTCGAGAAGTGAATTCAAGACTGATTCTTCCGGCGGCATGCTGTCAAGTTCCGGCGTTTAATTCGCCGGGAATCGGTATAACTCGTCGGATAATGGGAAACAAAATTATGCAAAAACTTTTGGGCGGGGCTGTTTCAATTTTTTCTCTTTCTATATTTTATTTTACCATTAAAATTGTTAGGAGTCGCAAAGCCTGCAAGCCCACATAAACCTGCAGTCATTATCATTAACTTAAAGTAATCATTATCCTTATCAGTCCCCGCCCCCTCTTCCAAATATATTTTTCATTTTTCCTTGAAAATGTTTTCTATATTTGATTGGTGAATGAGAAAATTTTATTTAGAAAAATATATACTATTAAAGATCATACTCTAATAACATCATTAAATTGGAGATTGCTTTGATGATATATATAGAAAGAGAGAAATAAATAATATAAACTTATAAGTTAAGAAAGTATTTTATGAAAAATGACTTTCGTCGATAACAGCTTGTTTTGGATGATTGTTATATATCATTTTATAATGTATCGTATCGTATTGTATTGAAATTGCATTGTATTGTATGGTACAATATTAAGTTTACGTTATTACAAAAAGAGGTAAAGTACATGTAGAGTTATTATAAAAAGGGTAAAATATAATTATTAAATACTAATAATTAAGGATAAAATGAGAAAAAAATAATTATGTAATGATGCAATCACACCAAATTAATCGTTACATAAAGTGAAACTTTTAATCGTTACATAATAAATAATTTAACAATACAATATAATTTAAATAATAATTAAAATTAATATTGTATCTAAATTAATAATATGATGCAATACTATAGGTAACAACCATCCAAACAAGTAAATGACATAAAGTCATTTTCTTAAACGCACTCCATAAATATACAATACACTCTTAAAGTTAATGGGTTTGGCCTTTAAATTTTTTAGCACTTATCTCATTGAACTTTTTAAATTTATGGTTTAATATCTATTACATATTTATTAAATTTTTAGTGGATTTCACATAAATTAATTCTATAAACAATTAATTAATCGAGATAAATTAATTAGTTATGATTAAGTAACAAATTTTACCAAAAAGAAATACATTTGAAATCATTTATTTAGCTTACAAGTTATAAGTTATATGATTATGAGTAGTTAAATTACACTATCGATGTTAAAAATTAGTATCATACCCTTATAATTTTGATAACATTCATAAAATATTCTCAATTCGTACTGTTCACTTCTGTGCTGAATGTAAATAGGCTCATCCTCATAAATTCCCCTTTGAATGTTGTCAGGCGAATCCCTGTTTCTTTAAAAACAAATTTGATAGAAATCTAAATTATAAGAATTTCAGATACTTTAATGCACATTTATTGGTTGATTGACCAAATCTCACATGTTGTTTCATTCATTTCCACGAGCCTAACGAAAAAAATATCTTTGCCTTCTCGCCTTTATTTTCCTCATTCATAATTGCAATAAAAATAAAATAGAAAAGAAAGATCAATTTGTCAATATGTGACACCTTTTCCATTAGGTTGCTATCAAGGGCGAAGTTAGGGGAGGAAGGGGCAGCTGGAAAATCACATTCTATATATATTCGATTCACTATCTACGTTGTAAAAGGGATTAGCCGCATTGTAAAAACAAAAAAGTAGAGTCATTACCATTTTGTAGCTAATTTTGTGATAACCTTATTTTCAGTACATAAACCTTGTGCTATGTGATATTTGACCAAATTGATATCTGAATATTGAAGTGTATAAATTGAAGTCTGACTGTAGAACTTCATATCACCTAGTAATAATTTGTGTTTTATAACTTTAAATTAAAAGAAAAAAAAAAGAAAAAAAATCTTACATCAACAATTGTAGATTACAGAAAAAAATTACTTATTCGCATGCGATGTATACTAAACTCATAAGTGTGCGACATGTATTTATTACATAAGTTTTATCGATTAACTATGATATAGGTTTCAATTTAGGCTATCATTTTGGTGAATCAACCGACTAACTTAAAAAAATGGTGGAGTACCACCGAGAGATATAGGGGAGTGAGAAAAATTTCTGAGTTTTTAACCTTAAATTGAAGAATTACACCTCTTGTCACTTCACCCAAAAGCACAACCTAAAATGGCCTAGGTTTGAAGTTCTTACCCGATTTGGTTATATAAAATTTAAAAGAAACTTTTCAGCCTTTAGCCCATTATTAAAGACACACTTCTAAGATTTTTTTTCTTTTCTTCCTTCTTTTTTCCAAGAATAATCAATCTCTCTCCACTCGCATCTCTCTTCTTTCTCCCTAAAAATTACAAAATTATTTTGTACATACACGTGTTTATTGCTTTTGAGCACAAGGGCTCTTTAATCCTCACATTCTATGTCAATAAAGTTTCGAATTTTGAGTTAATTGATGAAAACGGGTTAAGGAACCACAATAAATGTGGCCTATCAGTCCAAAAACTATTAGATCTGGCCTAAAACTATCAGATTTTGCCTAAAAGAGCATCTCCAACGACCTCGTCTCGTATTTTTATTTTTTTTCTCAATTTTTGTGTCATCCTTTGCTACTGGTGAAGCCCAGATTTGAATGCCAAAACCTCGCCGGAAAAATTTAACACCAGCAACCACCCAAAGCTGCAATGTAGTGATGGACAGAAGGTGTTTTCTAGTGTAAATGTTGTATGGGTAATGTTTATACATACTTATACAATATTGTATAAATATGTATAAGCGTGTATATCTGCGTACGATGTTGTATAAATTATCTATATTTTTAATGTATAAGTGTGTATATACATTGTACGTGTATAATAGGCATCCATGGAAGTTTAGCAATTTCTTCTCTTTTTCTTCTTTGTCTTATTTTTGTGGTATACATTATTAGAGATTGTATATACAAGTTTATACAAAGTTATACATAATTATACATGTAATGCACATGTGTAGTTAAATCTAAAATTAAAATTTTCATATGTTCAATTTTTATTTTTTTCGAACAATCTATGTATAAATCGACTTTCCTTGTTGATTTATCTCCCAAATCATGTGCAACAATTTTTTCAATTTTTTTTATTTCTGCTATTTGGAACTTGGAAAAGAAGAAAATTTAAGGTTCTCGAGTTGCCTTATATATTAATTTGCTTTTTTTGTAGAGAGAATAGGAATATATACAAACTTGAGGAAGAAGAATAAAAAATCACCCAATTTTCGTGCTTGAAGATCTGTTGAATAAAAAATAATAAGAAGAAAAATGCTCATTTTTCGAACTTTGACCTATTCTTAATGGGCTACATATTTGCAAAGCTATAACTGGGTTATTCTACTGCAATTTATGTGGGTTGCCTGTATTTTTGTGTAATTCTCCTTTTTTAAATTTGAGCCTTGAAAATGTAATCCTCTTTGGTAATAAGAGGTAGAACTCTTCCCTAATTTATTTTTTATAATATAAATTTAAATTAGTCGGATCAACAGTTCTGTCAAGACCCAAAATCCCACCANGGTCCGAAATTCTTACCTCCAATCGATTTTCCTTGAATCCCTCTTTAAACTCCTTCAAGAATCTTCAAAAATGAGCAGCTATGGGTGAAAATAGACCCAAAATCGCGGACAAGACGACTTAAAAACATTTTGCCCATGCCTGACCTTCCTTCATCGCGATCGCGATCGCGAAGAACAAATCTTCCCAAAAATTACACTACGTGAACGCGACAAGGCCTACGCGAACGCGATGCTTCTTCCTCCTACACCTTCGCGAACGCGTTCATCCCTACGCGAACGCGATGAACAATTGATCTGGAACCCATCTGACCCCACTTCCTCTACGCGATCGCGAATGCTCTCCCGCGAGACACTCTACGCGATCACGAAGAGCAATTTCCTGCAACACTGACCATCCGAAACACACCCGAGGCCCCCGAGACCTCAACCAAAAGCACCAGCACATCCTAACTTGTTCCAATCATCAAAACACTTCAAACAACATCAAATCATCCAAAACACATCGGATTCAAGCCAAACTTTCTAAAATCTTCCGAATTACGCTTTTGATAAAAAAACCCAACCAAATCACGTCCAAACGACCAGAAATTTTGCACACACATCCCAAATGATACAACAGAACTACTGCAACTTCCGGAATTTCATTTCGACCTCTATATCAAAATCTCACCTATCAACCGGAAAACGCCGAAATCTCAATTTCGCCAATTCCAGCCTAAACCTTCCACGGACTTCCAAAAAGCATTCCGATCACGCTCCTAAGTCCCAAATCACCTAACGGATCTAACCAAATCATAAAAATTCCGATCCGAGGTCATATACAAACAAGTAAAAATCTTGGTCAAATCATTCAAATTTAAAGCTTTAAACTGTGAACTGTTCTCCCAATTTCATTCTGATTACCCTGAAAACCAAAACCAACAATTTACATAAGTCATAATATATCACACGGGGCAAATCATGCCCGAGAACTGGCGATCACAGTGCAAAAGCTCAAAACGATCGGTCGGATCGTTACATAAAGTATGACTAAATGATTAGTCTCATAATTTTTATATAAAATGAAAAAAAAAAACTATATGAAACAAATAAGACACAAAAACAACTCAACATGATTACAGGTGAGAGAACGGTTAGGAATAGAGGTAGGTTAATTAAATAGATTAAAAGCTGCAACTTTTGGTTAATTTAACAATGATAGTGAGAAACCCAATAAACTGAAAAATTTGGACGTTAATTGTGACTTTTGTACCTGAAATAAATACAATAATGAGATGTAATAAATAGGATAGAGAATGATCAATTTCTAATTACTAAACAATTTTAACAAAAATTGAAAAGAATGAAAGGGAAAGTCAAAAAAAAGGAGAAAAAAGATAAATAGGATCCTTGACCAAAGAGAGGCGCCAAGTCACTTTTTTTATTCCCACCTTTATATATGTATAGATACACACACACACACACATATATATATATATACACACTATATTAAAAGCACGAAGGCCCTTAGCGAAATATCGTTCGCCTTTTTTACCCTCTAAAAATAAATTTTACATTGGACATAATTGTAATTTAAGTTACTTTTCTAACAATTAGGGTATTTGAATCACCTAAAATTTAAATATTTCCTTATTGAACTAAATAAGAAGTCTTAATTATTACCGTGA